AAAGGGCTGGATTGTAGGGAAGTACTGCAACATGTGCTCAGTGTGCTGAATGCTGTCTTTTTCCGGGTACCATCAGTATAAGAAGCCATATGTGAACAGGGACTCCCAAAGGGGCTCTACGTGAGAGAGCTGACCGCGCATCTCCCTAAAAACTCTGCACCCTCAATCTCATTAACAACTTTTTTGGGAAGCAAAGCCCGATCACTGGGCTTGAGTGATTTCAGCTTGCAACAAGCAAGAGTTGCTGAAATGGGATCGGCAGGGCTCCTGAACTCTAAACCCCAGCCCTATACCTAAACAACCTGCAAACCCTAAGCCCTGCAGCCGAAGCCCCCTATCTGCTCCTTATAATAACTGAATAACTGGACCCTATATACGTAGTGCTATCTCTCATGGTCATTAATCAAAGCGAGGGGAGGGGCGAACTAAATGTGTACAGAGGTTTATACCTGTTTCTGCGACGATTCTCATTTAGGAGGTGAGGTTTACCCATTTTACACAGACTTCCAAAAACAAGTCGGGTTGAGGGCTTAGGGATCTGGTGAAATCTTTCCCTAACTCATGGAGAAACCTCAATATCAGTTCTTTGGGCTTGATTGGTTGGACGCGGGTCCCAACCATCTTTATTTGTCCAGTTTCCTAGAGGAATCAACAGTTGTTCTTCGGGTTTCGGGTAATCCTAAACCCCGATCCCTGAAGCCTGGCCTCTGAAAGAGGAGGCTTCCTCAACTCCTGACCCTCAGAGCTCTTTGAAAGCCCTTGAGCATGCTTGAGCCTTCGGCATCGCTGTCGAGATCTATGCATTTCGCCTCCGGGCAGATCTGGGGGTGCAAGGTCTAGAGACTGGGTGAGGCATGTGCAACGAACACCCTGCACCGAAAGGAGAACGGAAAAGAGCAACAGGGCCTAGGGGGATTTCCGGCCTAACTCTCAAGCGCTTAGGGTGTGGGCACACGACCGCCATTTCTTGGAGCCAGGAGACGGCGTATGCGCGGCGGTGGGTTCAAAAGCAGGGTCCCCGTACAAGTGTCTGGGAGAATGGAATTCCGATTGCTCGGCCGTAAACCCTGGACTCGATAAAGGGCAACGCCTGTTCATGCCGGACGATTGAGTTTAGGACCACACCGACAAAGTTAAAAGTGCTGCGGGCCCGCCTTGGACTTGGGTTCCTTCTGCTCCTGTCAGCTCAGGCGGGGGGCCTATGAGCATTTTGGCCCTTTAGCCCTTTTGCTTTCAACACACCTTTGGGCATTGGCCGTAGGGGGCAAACACACTTCATGTCAGTCCCCATACAGGCGTCTCAGGTGAGTGACCGAACTAGAGCCAAGAGCACTTCTTGGTTCCATGTCTCCTTGGCATTTCGGGATACCCTCAAACCATGAATGCGGGGCCTGAGTCACTGAGGGCCGTTTGCTGAGGTGTCTGTTACAACGGCAACCAGAAGCGGACTACACTTCTCACAGCTGGCCAGGTACCCTGTCCTCATCCGACATCTCTTCGTCGTCGCTGCCTTCTTGCGAGCAACAGAGCACACAAAGAAAGGAAAGCAAAACGTAAACTGTGGCATGGTTCAAGGTGCCTCAGGTTCTTGGTGTTCTGGGCTTTGGGTACCCATGGTGTGTAGGGTATTCCGCTGCTCTTGGCTTTCCCGAATCCCTAGTCCCTATTCCCTATCCCTCCGAGGCGTATGGACTAGGGACGAGAGTTTACAGTGTCTCGGGATAGAGATGCAAACCCGTCTATAGTAGATACTTGGACCCAAAGAAACTATTGAGTTAACTTTTTGTGGCCCGAGTATTACCGATATCATCAGGTGAACCCTTTATGTAAGAGGGCTTGAACTGACTCGAGGCCACAGCATTCTTCTTCCTCCGACGTCTCGTCGTCATCGTCGGCAGCGATGCCTCCCCCAAAAAAGTCCTGCATACAGGGGGAGAGGGGGGGGGGGGGGGCGTTTCCCTTTTGGTGGAAGGGGCTCCAAACCTCGACTCTGGGTCCCTACCCAATCGTCTGCGCAAAATATCTAAACTCCGGATTAACGAAGCCCGGGTCGTCCCTTCGATTGGACTTTTGGCTCGTGGCAAGCACATCAAGATGAAATAGTGCCTCGCGAACACTTGGTCTGAGCATTTTTGAGACTTGCAGATGAGCGAACCGGTGAACTTGTGAAGCCCATCTGAACTTCGCCCGAAACCCCCAAACCTCTCGAGTACCCAAGTCCTAAAGCCCTTAAACCCCTAAACCTCAGAATGCCAAATTCCACATTCCCCAAGCCGTAAACCCCACTCAGCCTCGTGGTCGCTTCCATCCTCCTGCCTGACCGAGCTGTGTGTGAAGGTAGAGGGGCCTTTTCCCGACAGGTTCCACGGATCAGAAACACCGAAACCCTAAACCCTTAAACCCTGGTTTAAACCCTATACCCCACACTACAAACCTCTCAACCCCAACCGCCTAAGTCTCAGTGACAGGGTTTCCATGCAGCTGAGCCCAAGTAGCAGGTCCTTTCTTAGGCGGGTTCAGGCTTTCGGAAAATGAACGAGGGTTCTCCCTGACAAGGTTTATACGTCTGCGAAGCTGTAGCTATAAACGAATTCTGACCAAAGTGTTCTTGCAGAGCTGCGTGTGAGAAGAGTGAGACATGCATAGTTACCTAACATATGTACCAACACGACACAACCCGGAACCTGCCCCTATTTGTCTCGTCCCCCCAAAAAAACACAAATCCCTAAAGGATGCTCGGCTCAACGCTGCCTTCAAAATCATCCCGAGCCTAGTCTTCTGTAGGTGAGTTTTTTTGCAAGCCACCTACAAGATTTTTAGATAGGCCTGAGCCCTCAACCCTAAACCCCAATGCACATAAGATCCGGGCTTGGGAGCCACAGGCGGGTGCTTGCCGTTCGACCTCGAGTGCAATTTCGGGCATTTTTTGGGGTTTAGGGCTTACAAGGTTCAGGACTTGGAAGACTTGGATTTAGGGCCCAGGTCTCAAGCAAAGAGAAGGTGCAAGGTGCATATGGACATCCAGCAAATCTTCAGGTGGCAAGCCTCAACCCTCTAAAGGACAACGCAACTCTCGCTACGACGTAAGCCCCAAACTACAACCCACGTGTGTTGCTTCTCTATGACAGGTGGAGGTGCTTCCGACGCCTCGGGCATTCGCCACAACGTCGCCTCGAGCTTTCGGACACCATGTGAGAGAGCATCCGAGCTCTGCACTCTTACGAATGAGCTGCCCACCTGAAGCTGTCCTAGAATTCGAACCTCCAAGCCCTAAGCCCCTGAGACGTACCGTGTTCGTATCTAGAGACTCCTTAACTCTTGCATGGAGCGGGCTTGAAAATTTGGACTCAAGATTCTGGACTGGCACGCCCCGTACTAAACCCAAAACCCTAAGCCGACCTATGGCTGCTTGGCTTCGGGCGCAACCGCCGTGGGCTCCTGGCAAGGACGGAGGCGAGGACGGAGCGTTTTTTTTCTTGCTCCCGGACGAACGCTCTAGACTCGACCCCACGACCTACCTTGAAAAATGCGGTTTTTGGGTTTGAGGCTTATAATGGTTTAGGGTGTTGCCCAACAGTTGAGGCACAGAGTTATGTTTCTCTTGAATGGTACCAAGGATGATAATGTACTGTAGCTTACTTGAAATGAAGCCAGAACCCTGAACCTTGAACCTTGCAGGCATATGAAGTAGGGTATATTTCTTGTAGCCCCAAACGGACACCCAATACATAAACTCACCAAGATTAAATAGGAACCTTATATACACTCACCAAAAACAGAAATATAAACCCTGCTTCATATAGCCTTGAAGTCTAACGAACGGAGATTCATGGGAGCTGGAATGCATCCTGAGAGGTACATCGGCAGCTGATGCTGTCTGAGACTACCCGACTTTCGCCTGGGACTTCATTCCCTAGTATATGGTGCATTGTCTTCGCTCCAGAACCCTAAAGTAAGTAAGAGCACCCGGAAGAGGTTTCAAGTTCCTCGCTCGACCTCTAAGCCCCGGCAGGCCCTGCGGGCTCGGCACTCGCAAGCTCGCACAGGTTCTGTACAGGCATGGGACCCCTTGCTATACCCATAGAATACAGTATCGTATGCTATACAACACTGCGCCATGCCGTAGAATAATTGCTATGCTACCTATACAACCTGGAGCGAGGTGGACGTAACAACCCAAAGTGCAGTACGTCTGCGACCCAACTTATTAGGGCCTTGTGAATCTTCGCCGCGCCTCGATGTAGGTTTCAGCACTTGCTGAGGCCAAACGTGTACTTAGGGTAATAAGCCGCGCATTTAGGGTGGCACCGGGCTCAAAGGACTAATGGTTTGGAGGTTAAACGCTCAGGGCTCCGGGTTTCTTGCGTCGAAAAAGCTACTGAAACAATATCAAGGGGAGAGAGGAGATGGAAAAGGTGTCTAGAGCAGGGGCGCCGAGCTTGGAGACTTTTGGAGGTTTAGAGTATGGGGAACTTCAGGAGTCATTTAGATTTTTGAGGGTTTAGTGCGGACTTTGGGTTGTAATGCCTGAGCCTCTTTAGCGACGCTCGTTTGGCCATCATGTTTCAAGTCAAGTTAAGGGAGTAAAGTTTTCGGATCAAAGCCACAATGACGAGCTCAAAAACCACAGCTCTCAACGGCAAACATGCTGCAGCAGACCACGGGCAGCGCCATTTTGGCCTTCTTTCCGTTGACCTCGAAGTCGTGAGCAAGCCACGGGGAATTGAGACTTAGGCGGCCTCAACCCCCATCTTCTGTCCAGTCCTCTGAAAGACACCACAGGTTCTCACTTCCCTAGAGCATCCGGCTTTGTCCAGCAGGGTGGTCCAAGGGATTCAGTTAACTTCGTAATTAAGGTTACACCGGTTCCACCCAGCACTGAAGTTGCCTGGAGGCCAGCGGTGCTATTGCAAGCTTGACTCGTGTTCGCTGGTTGCTCTACTTGGTGGCTCAAAAGCGAAGCCCTGAGCCCTGTACCCCTACACCGGAACCCGCCAGGCCTCTTTGTCATCCTCGTCTTTGGCCTCAATCTTCTCCTTGCGTGCTTGGACTGGGAGGAAAAAGGAGTGGTCCACCGTGTTGTGTGCTGCTCTGTGCAAATTGGCCTATAAGGGGATCTTAACCTGAAGGTTGAGACTCAAAATCTCCCAGGTCAGCCCAAGCCTCAAGACATCTGAACAATGCAGCCAACCTTCTAGGTCAACTCGCGGCGAAAAACTCTTGGGATTGCGTAGAGATTCTGCTACCCCTGTACAAGTTTTACAAGTTGCCTGCCCTACCAAAGTCCATCCTATGGTTTGACCCTCAGCATCCTAAGCCCATTCGCAAATCGGCGCCTCGAGCTTGGCTTCCATCTTGGCTTCAAGCTTGGAAGCCTGACCATGACACGGGTACCGGTACAAGCCGAAGGCAATCTTCGAAACGGGTCAGCGGATGTGTGGCCTGACTCTGATGCTTCAACCCTCTGTGAAGGTTCTTTTGTAACCCCGGTTTTCAAAATTCCAAACCCTCCAAGCAAAGCCTGAACCGTACTGCGCCTCCACCTTGGCTTCGTGCTTCGCTGCCCTCTTCTGCTTCTCTTCCAGGTACGTGTCGATGTCCGGCTTTGACCTGAGGGTTTAACAGGTTTAGGGTTTAGGGATTGCGCACTCGGGCTAAGCTTCAAGCAGAGCCCTGAAATTTCTATGTAAACCCTAAACTCCATAAGTCATTTCGAGTCCCAGATCACTACATCCAACTCGACCACTCAAGCCAGAGCCTGCCGTCGGTACGGGTTAGGTAGTACTTACTACGAACCCCCCCCCCCATTTACAGGGTCCTTAGGTAGCCTACCCCTAGAACCTCAACTCAGCTCAAGGTTTAGGGATATCGGCCCCGGCCTAATTGGCCATGCGACAAGTACAGATCACAGAGCCTAAAGGGCCTGGGGCTTAGGGCTCTTCAAATCAGTCGTCAAGGCACGACGCACATGGGCCGCCTCCTGCAATACAGGAGCCTAGATCACAACCAATCTCATCGACATAGAACCCATGCACTGCTATGTTTATACCTTTAGCCACCTACGTACTTGTGAGCAAGGCCCAAAAACCTTAACTTGAGGGCTGGCCAGGCCCTGTGACTGATGCCGCGCACACAGTCCAGCCGACTGGTGAATGTAAGCAAAGCAGACGTCAAACTCAACTCAGAGGCCCGAACCCTATAGAGCCCACCGGGTTCAGACCTACCTCCAGTCAAACTTACGCGATGGCTTTGCTGTTCGAAGGCAAGGCAACTTTTGTTCCTAAGCCCGAAGCCCTAAAGTGCTCATGTCTAAGTCCGGAGCCCAAAAGCCCTAAATGTCCGAAAAGGCGCTCAATGCCCTTGGAATCTGAACCAAGTCGCCGCTCGATCAGGGTAAAGGCCTTCCGCAGCAAAGTGCTGAGGCTTCAGGGTCTGGGTCTGGGATCAAGGGTTTTCGAGTTCACTGGGAAGTCAGAGTGGAAGGTTTAGGTTTGGGGTTTGGGCTGGGGCTTAGACCTCCCCGACAGAACCCTGTGGCCCTACATTACAAGCCTCCCCGAGAGATGCTCTAAACCCTAAGCCTTGAACCCAAACCTCTGAAACCACAAACCATAATATATCCCCGCCACCTAACAAAATGGGGACTATACCTTTCAGCGATAAAATGCTCTTCAAGGGTACACCAAAACCCCAAGACGAAACCCAAACACAACCCTAGATAATGGTGAAGGGGGTATGCGAACACTTCGTCCGCCTCGTTGAGCTTGGAAATGGTGCTCGACAGCGTAAACGCGTCGTCTGTGAAACACTGGCCTGCGTGCAGAATCGGTTCCGTATTAGGTTTCAGGGTCTAGGTTCTTGCGGTGGGCCGTAGAGATCCTTGTGTGTGTGCCTGTGTGTAGAATCAATAAAAAATAAACACATAAATAAATACATACATACTTATATTTTTCTCTATCCACATCCACATATACACAACAGTAGTTAAGCCGCAAAACATCCACCGTGCACCAAAACTATAGACAATTATAGCGATAAATGAAATCAGAAAAAATATATATGTATATATATATATATACATATATATATATACATATACACATATACACGCACACACACCTTAGAGCCAAGGTGGCAAGGTTTGTAATGCCCTACGCCGGACAGTGCACCCTCAATGGGCCTTCCCACCCCAGATTCTCAAACGGAATCTCGGTGGGGGGGGGGGGGGGGGGGGGGGGGGGGGGGGGGGGGGGGGTGGATGGTTTGGCCGGGGCGATTGGGCCTGAGGGGCTTAGGGCTTAGGATGGCCTTCTCGGCTTCATGGCTTAGGATTTGCAATGTTGCGTTTCGGGGGATCGAGAAAAATCTTTATGTGGTTCATGGTTTAAATATGGCGCATCCCGTCACAGGAACAGACAACGTGGCGTCCCGCATTGCAGCAGCCCGCAATAAGCTTACAATAAACAGTGTCCAACTTCCGGGCTTGCTGCACGCTTGTCCCCCCCCCCACCCCAGAGCTCTAGTAAACCTAGGCGAAAATTCAACCCAAATCCCCTACTAACCGCCATGCCTGAGCCTCTAAACCACCCTCAGTGACTCAGTCCACAGTTAAGAGCCCGGCAAAAAGTAACCGTGGCCAGCTGCCAGGCCTTCTGTAGCCTCTTGCAAGTCCAGGATTTAGGGTTGAGGGTTCCCCCGGTACCATAGGAGAAAAGTCATGGTACTTATACCCTCAGGTTGCTTGGGCTTATGGTTCCTAAAACGGAAGCGAGCATCCGTGGAAATACTTGGCGTCCTGGAATGGGTTTTAAGTAAGGCCCACGAGCTTAAGGGGCATCGGGGGCTGAAATCTCCAAGGTTTTGAAGGGGTTTTATGTCTGGGACTGGGCTGCCATGGCTATTTTCTCTGGAGACTCTCGTACCGCCTATTGGAGGCTTAAGGTTTTTGGTTTGGCTTTATGCGGTTTAGGCCTTAGGTGCTGCTGAGGCTTGGGCTTGATAGGTATAAATAAAAGAGCCCCAGCATGTATACACACTCAGACGTATCCCTTTGGAAGGAAGAAAAGGATACACACTACTTGGGGCAACGCTTCATGTCGTAAGTGTATACGGCAACGCACTGCAACAGTAGGCTCTTCGGGCTTGGGGTTCAGCAATGCCGTGCCAAGGTCGGGGCATCTGGTGCTTCTCGTCCTGGGCCAGTTCAACACAAGGTTTCTAAGCTTAGCTTTCAGGATGGTTCAGAGGGGGCAGGGGGGTCCGTTTCCAAAGAGACTCTATTGCGATGGGTGCCAGAAAGACCCTGGTGCAGAACTATCCTCAATGCCCTCACATGCTTCGCGGGTAGTTTAGGGTTAGCCGAGGCATGTGCATAAGGGCTGCGAGTACGTCGACACTACGCATGGCAACACAGTTGCACCTGACATGTATACATGGATGTATGCTGTCAGCAAGAACTGAAATTTCAATGGAGACTCAAGCTCGAGTGACACACGGGTCACACGACGTCATATCAGATCGAGTTATAAAAAAAAAAACACCTTCCGCCTAATGCTATAGAGAGTATAAATCGTCAGGAAGCCCTAGAAGCACAAGGTGAGATAGCAACATGTCTTTATATATGTATACATATATATATATAATTAAAACCATTTTGCCGTTGCCTTAGGATCAACATGCCGAACGTCAAAACCAAAGCTACCAGAAATTTCGACTCGTCGAGAAGCACATACATCCAACAAAAAACTGGAGGGTCGTTGTTCTTGGCTGCTCTCGGTATGCCGCAAAACCCAAAGTGACGGCCAAGCCTTAGACCTAGTAAGGGGATGGCCAGGTACCTGGGAGTGTTCAAACCTTGCACAAAGCCTCAAAGCGATTTAGGGTTTAGGGTTTCAGGCTGGCATGTCCAGAAAAGCCGCATGTAATTACCTGAACTCTCAAACCCGTTCAAATTCTTCGACCTTACCTCAACCAAAAGGGATCCCTACATCGGTCAGCCCAAACCCCAAAGGGAAACCTTCCCCAGATACACACACACACACACACATAGAGAGGCAGACAGTTGCCATGGCCTGTAAATCCGACGGAAGGTAGGATTGGCTCCAAAAGACGTTGCAAAATGAAGAAGCCAATGTTGACAGCAACGAAACCTCCCAGACTGAACCCCAGATCTCTACGCGCGCCACGAGACTTACGACGAAGCACTCGGCATCGAGGGATAGAAGTTTAAGCAGCTACCCACATGTGGGTCCTCCTGAAACCACAGGGAGTTGTAGGAGAGGACATACTCGAAGACCTTGGTCACGGTTGTGCTACGCCCGAAAGTCTACTTTAGCCACTTTAGCCGGACAACATACTTGACCCCCTAGGACTCTCACTGAGCCATTGGGTCAGATCCCAGTTCGCACCTTTGACCGATCATCCCTCAACTTTAAACCCGGAAATACCGCAAGACTTCGAGCTTCGAGCTGTCAGAATCCTTTTGTATTAACTAATATAGACCAGTATAATGGTCCTGTGGCCAAGACACCTGAAAATCGGGTTGCGAGCTTCATGGTGTTGCCGGCTTCCGGGGTTGAGGTGTCAGGATTTAGAGCTATTTGGTACGAAAAGGAGGCCTGTTTTGCTTAAACGGGGTTCGCAGGGTGAACCTAAGCCCTAACAACAGAAAATTGGGCGCGCTCTGGGTCCTAGAGTGCAGCCTGAGGCCTCTGCGCAAATAACATCCTGCCGGCCTTCCGGGTCCTCACAGGCTTGGGGTCTAGGGACTAGGTCTCAACAATGGGTCAGTACTTCTAGGTACTTGACTCTGAAACAGGGCGACTTGAAGCCCAACTATGGCCCAGGCTGCTATACTTAGGGGGCCTGTAGGTGGTGTCCTATAAGTAGGTTTCTAACGCCCTTCGGTACGCCCTTCGGTACAGGGAGTATGGAATTTCCGAGCCCATGCTCTGTGAGGGGCACCTGGATGTCGGGCTGCTTGCAGCAAGCTGGGTTGGCCCCCCGTTAAGCCCTCTGTCGGTTTTGGGGTTAGGGGATCGTTATAATCCCAGCAAGGGATAAATACAAAAAGCACAAAGGGCCCTCGCTAGCCAAGAACCATGAAGCTCCCGTGCCCCTCCCCGGCCCCCCTCCCCTTTAAATCACCACTGTATGGTTCTTACAATTTAGCGGTTTGGGGTCTCTTTGCTTTAGGGTTGCTGTCGCTCATATTGCCGGAGCCTGTGCTACACCCTTTAGGGCTCCGAGTCTCCGAGCTTTGGGATTTTGAGTTCAGAGATCATAAAGCTTTTGCTACATAAGGCAGCGATCCTAAACCCTGCACTCTAAATCTTAAGATTAAGGGATAGTTGTGTCTCATTTTGAGCAACCACCATGTAGCTAAGGTTGGGGGAGGGGGGCTCACTGATCCCAAAACCTAAAACCCAACCTTCACGTAAATAGGGATTCGAGTTCAACCCTAAACGCTAAACCCAGCTTCCTCTGCGAGGAAGGGGAGCTTAGTCACGTCGTTGAGTACGCGAAAGATATACTCGCGGTTGTCGACGTTCATGTACTCCTTGCTGGGTTTAGGGCTCAGGTTTGGCAAGCCCCGAGGATTTGCACTCTTGTTTTGAGGCTGCAACCTGAGAATGCAAGAGTGCCGTTTGGGGGTTCAGGGTCTAGGGTTTCTTTTTAAGGGAAATTAACATGATTTATCGGAGTACAGCCAACCCTACACGCTGCAAACTTTATATACACTTGGCAGTAGGCTTAGGCTGTAAGGGAAGTGCTTCTCAACCTACGTGAACCCGGAGGCTGCACGAGCTTCCCAAGCTCTTCTTGCTATGAATTCCGCCCTCATTGGCATGCTCTCGCCTTTGTCCACCGGTAGAGCAGCTTCACCACCTCTGGTTTAAGGTTTGGGGAGTGTGGCCTTCGGGATTTGGGGTGCAGGCTGCACTAAACTAACCCTCCTGGTAACAACTTGGATGTGTACGTGACTGAAGGACCTTTCAGAATGCCAGGAGGCATGCCCTTGACTGTAGAACACATTGAGTTTCTGATCTGCATACCTTTCCGCAGGTGAGCCCACAGCCCCAATGAACTGTGCGGGTTTTGTGTATGGCATGGCTCACTGTACTGAAGAGTATCAGGTCCCGTGCAGCCTTATGGCTAAAGCCTTTTAAAGTGCAAGGTCGTCTAGTCTAGGTAGATATGAAACGCCGTGTCTTCGTTGCAGCTCGTGTCCGGGAGCACCTCAATGCAGCTGCTAAAGCAATGGCAGAAGCCTTTTGTTGGCTGCCGACGACACGTTGGGGGACTATTCGTTCGTTCTTGATAGCAGATCCCAGCAAACCCGCACCCGTATCTGTTCACGATGGTAGCCTTGGGGAACTTCGTCCGCTGTGGAAGCACTGCTGCTAGTCGCTCGAGGCCTCATGAAGCAGCCGGATCACGGAGTTCTGCTTGGGTTGCGGGCTTCGGGTTTGGGGTTCACGGCTTAGGGTTAGGAAATTCGGGCTGGGATCTTTTGGTCCAAGGTTTCATCTAGTCACTCAGTCTTACCCTCCTGCTTCTGGATTAATGGCCAGCAGATGCCTTAGCTTCCAGCTAGTGCTGCGTCACTTGATTTCGATTCAGGCGTGATAGCAAAAGAATAGGACAGGCTTGGTATTGGCCATGATTCTTGGCTCGGAAGGGAAAGACTCGTCAGAAACCTCAAACCAAAGAGAATGAGGCAAGTACTGGGCATCCATCCTAGAACTCTTGAAAAACCCTAAACCCTACCCCCTCGTCCTGTAACGGCACTCGAAGGGAAAGGGTTTAGGATTTAGCAGTCTTTTGCCGCTCTCTCCTTCTCTACTGCCCGAATGCAAAATCAACATGAGAGTTTAGGTTTATCGACAGGGCTTAGGTGGAGTTAGGGTTTAGATGGTTCAGGCGAACAAGTCTCGGTACCCTCAACCAGCAACGGTCCAAAACCCTGCGCCGAACTCTAAGTGGAAACCTAAACCCTCAGGCACCCCAATCAGCCCTAGGCCGCTGAGAGATTAGCCTTCCTTGCTGATTTTCTTCACTGCAACCCTAGTTATTTATAAGCCCTTGCCCAGCATCTCTCCGTGATGCTCTGGCGCCCGTGCCTTGAAGAACATCCACGTTTGGCTTCTTGATCCTGGGCTCCCGCGCCCATGCGAAAGTTTGGCTTTCGGACTGTCGGGACTTTCGGGTCTAGGTTGAAGGTGAGAGCCTCGGGGCTTTGGGGGTGGAAGCATCTGTAGGGCTTTCGGGTTCAGTGCCTAAAACTGCTGGGGGCCCCTACAAACCCGCAACCCTAGTCTTTTGGGTCTCGGGCTGACCCCTTGCAGCTTCGTGTTGTTATGGCTTGGAAGGTGGTGGTGTGGGAGTTTGTTGAGGGCTGCAATGTGTAGTGTGATCATTTGGGGTTTAGGACTTTCAGGGGTTTGGAGGCTTTAGGGTTTAGTTAGAGGTTAGGGTGAAGGAAGTTCTTGAAGAGCTAGGATCTGACTGCGTCAGGGCCCCAGTGCCCAGCGCGTTGACCTGCGTTTCTTGCCGGCCAAAACATTGCAACTCGAAAAAGGTAGTCAGGTCCTTGAGGGGGGATCCAGAGGGCCTAGCGGCACCTTGAAAAAAGCTTTGGGGCCCAAGGGGTACAAGGGACCGATGCATGTGGCAGAGGGCTTCCCTTTTACATCCTCATCCCCTCACTCAAGCCCTAAACCCTTTAGCCTAAATCCTAACTCAATTCAACCCCCTAACAACAGCTCTCAGAGCGCTGCTTGGCCATCTTGTGCCTCCGCCTCCGCTTGCTCCGGCGGAAGGTTGGAATCCGCTCCTGCTTATGCTGCTAGGTTGTAGGGGATCATGGGGTTCAGGCTTCAGGGCTCACAAGGACAAGGCTTGGGGCTTGCTGTTGAGTGGCGAACCAGCACTGATGTTTTGCGACAAGAGGTGAATCGGGCGTCGAGTGCATGCTGCCTGTTTGTGATGGCTTTCAGGCTTTCACTTCCTCACGTACGTATCACACGCCGCGATGCAGGCGCCGCGATGCAGGCGCCGGCCCTGCCACCCAAACTTTTCTTCCAATAACAGCTCTGGCCCGAAGCCATCAAGACCACAACTTTCATTTTAGCGACTTGCCCAACCCACACGTGAATGATCTAAGCTCTGGGCTGTCAACCAAACCCTACACAACCCTTAAAACTCGAATAAACCCTATTCCCAACATGACCCTAAAATTATTAACAGCCTTTGAATGCAGCCTACAGTCTAACAGCAATTGAAATCCGAATTACCGGAACAACACTTCAACAAACCAGAAAAAACTTGAACCCCAGGCACCCCTTCAACAAACTTTAAACTGCTGAACGACCCGTAATGAAGCACCCTGCAACCCTAAACGCCCCTTCAATCAAGCTTGCGCCCCTAAAAAACCCTTATATTAAGCTCAAAACCTTGCGCAACCGTGATCAACACCCAAAACATTCACATCCCAGCCTTGTCCCCAGGCAGATGCAAGCGTTTCTCTCCTCGCCTCTCCCCTCGCCGGGCCTTTGTTGTCGGAGGTTTCAGTTTTGGGGCAAAGCCGGGCCCCGAAGGATTCCAGACACCCCACGTGACTCCTGACTACGGAGAAATGAATGTTTTGCTTTTAGGAAAGAATCTACGCATAGGGGCCAACTTTTACCCCTGAACCCCTTTACCTTGAAAGTGCAATCCCAAAACTCACACAAAAAGTCACAGCTGCTCCTGCCACCAAGCTCCCTTATCCCATGGTTTCGGCTTGGCTCACGTATAACGGGTATCACTGAAACTTAGGACTCATATGACTCATATGAATTTAACTGTAGATACTTGTGTTGGGTAACGGTTGTTGCGTCAAAATGTAACCAAAATCTCTGAATCCGAGCTAGACACCCGAACAAGGAACAAATTAAAACTGGGGGTCTTGGTAAGATAAGTGTGCTGTAGGTGCATGGCACCCACCCTAGGCCCGAAGCTAAGGCGACCCACGCAGGCAAAAGGCAGCTCTCCAAGTAGATGCACCCGATTGCAACACACAGCCGAGGCAAAGCTAACCCCCCATTGCGGCGCACTTCAAGGTACCAGAGCACAAGCGAAACACAGGCAAGATTTACCATAGAGTCTCGACAACATAAGGAGCCTGACTAGCTCTATCTTGCACTGCGCCCCAGCATGATGGCCGCAAGCAATTCCACAGACCCGGAGGTCCTTGGCTTTCAAAAACAACTCAAATTAGAAGCCCTGCCCTAGCAGCATCCGCAGGTATCGCCTACGCGAAATGCTCATCAGCGACCCAAGTTGTGAGTTGCCTCTGGGGGTTTAGTTCGAGCAGGTCTCGAGCCTCAAACTCCCAACGTAGTCGCAGCGCAGCGCGTGCTTTCCTTAAGATGTTCTCCTTATTTGCGCGCAAATGCACATCGCGGCATCACGCGCTGTGTACGCCTGCGAGTAAACGGGCTACTTCCACGGACTGCGGACAGGTTTTGCGTTCCAAACCTGCTAAGGTGATGGCATAACAAGTGGTTTCAAGGTAGTAGCATCAAGAACGGAGAATGACAAGCTGGGGAACACAGTGACTTAGGGTTCAAGTAGAGGGCGCTAGGCCACGAAAGTCTATAAATGGCAAACTCCTTCAGCCAAAGTCTCAGACTTTGTTGGATGTTTCAGATTTAGGGATGGGAGGTTTGGGATTTAAGCTTGCCATGCTTGCAATGCAGTTGCTTGGACTTGGACCTGCTTCTTCCCACTGTGTCGACAAGACAGGCGCACAACACGGCATTGCGAGACGACATATCAAAATTTGTAGACCATTTTTGGTGAAATAAGAGGGAGACGCTAATAACGGCGACCCCACAAGGGCCGATTTTCAAGACCAGCCTCTACATACTGATGATCTCATGCAGTAAACATGTACAGCCATTTCCAAGCACTTGAAATTTCGCAAAATGATGTCAAACCACGTATCCGAGCCTGCACACGACCCTGCAGGGTCCCCAAAACCTCCCCCACCGCTTTGAAACCCAATGCAAAACAACGAAAATGGAGGACTTGCACGTCATTGGATCCAAGGTCTCTGTAAAGGTTGTGTCGTCAGGCAGGGGGGGGAGGAGATGGGTGAGGGGATGGCGGGCTGGCCGCTACCTAGAGCACCTAGAGCAACTCTTTACTTGTAGACTGCAAATAGCCCTAAACCCTAAAAAGCCTAAGCGTTAAGTTTCAAATCAAGGCGCGTTTAGAGGTACATAGGCTACTCTAAGTAGACCAAACCTTAAACTCAAACCCAAGTCAGGTTGCCGGTGTTAGTGTCCTATCGTAGTTAAGGACGCAACAGTCCTGACTCAGATGGGGTTGAGGATGTGCAAATGTCAAATGTCATGCAGGATCGGCAACGAGGAGAGTGCCAACACCTATTTTGCTGCAGCAAGCACAAGACATGAAATGCAAGCACGGTGCCTGCTTCAAGGTGCGCTTGACGCGTCTGTCTTTCTTGATTTCCTTCGTCCTGGCTGGGGGGGGGGGGGGGTGAGGAAGGGGGGAGGGATGGGCGGGGGAGAGTAGGGAGAGTGAGGTGCTTGGAGATTTGTATGTCTACACATTGATGTTGATATGATTAAAAGGTTATACTATGTGTATGTACATCACACGCAAATATGTGGTAAGCTAGCAAAGCAACTAGTGTTTGTGTGTGTATATACATTCTGGATCTTCCATTGTATACACAAATATAGCTATTTGTTGAAATGTATATTTTATATAGTATGTAATACAGACATGTACATACACATTCATATCCCCCATCTCCAAACCCCGCAGATCGCTGACGGCGCCTAATCCCCTACTATAAGGGAAACCTGAACCCCCAACAACCTCTAAGCCCTAAGCCCAAAACCGACACCCTACATTTCTCACATCCCTGAACAGCAATTCAGGACTGAGAGGGCTTGAGGTTGAAGTACAGCAATTCAGGACTGAGAGGGCTTGAGGTTGAAGTCATGCGAGCCATGCGAGCCATGGCAAGGAAGAGGATGCTGGGACCCCGGGCTGGTGGTTGAAATGTCTGTCCAGCCTTAGACTGACAACTTCAGACGAGCGTGCTGTCTTCTGTGCAAGATAAGGTTGTCCATTGTCAACGCACAGTGATAGAGGCGCAGGAAGCGGGACTCAAACCAGGGTACTGCGTCGGACTAGGGCATCATACCCCCTACTGCCAGCAAAAGCTTGGAATGGAGCTAACCCCCCAAAATGCAGAATTACAAAACCCTAACACTCTCAACCACCGGAACTCAAACCCCAAGACCCTGAACCGCGAAACTCTTCACTTCGGAAACTTCAGTGTGCCCTACGCCAAGACCCCAAACCATCTCTGAGACCTGAATGCACTATCATGGGCCTGCTCTGGTGCAAACCCTAAACCCTGAACCCTAAACCCGAAACCTCAAGTCTCCGTTGGGAGCAACGAGTTGATACAGACCTGCCCTTCGCCTTACCCCTAAGCTCTGAATTCGCGGGATTAGGGTGCAGGGCCAGAGTTTTTGGATCTCAAAGTTTCGGGCGGTCGCAGCACTCCTTTCCCATCACCAAGCTGAGAGACCAAGCCGCCCTCCGAGCCACTTCAGGGTCTGCATGGTCCCCACACCCGAAACCCTGAACCATACACCCTCAACCCTAAACTCTGCACCTCCAAAACCATGAGTCCGACCCGGCCTGAGGTTTGAGTATGTTTTTGACGACAGCCGGGGGTACAAGTAGTTACAGGAACTGTTCAGCTACACCTGGCTTGATCCGATATCTTTCGTAGGGATACCTATATGACTCACTTGCAACGACTCCGTTAGTTGGAGGAGTGGATCCCTATGGAAGACTCGCAGTGCTCCCCCATTCCCTGGCAAGGGCTTAGGGCCCAGGTTCAGGACCGTTCTCAGCAACGGCCATTTTTTAACCGAGACCTGGCGTCAGTATCTGAGAAACCTGAGCATGCTCTCACGTAGGCCATAACCCTAAATCTTGATTCCTGCAATCTCAAGACACCCCTAAATGCAATCTTGTCTGGACGTTCGAGCGACGCGCCAAACCCTAATCAACCTAAACTCCGAGCGTTGGAATTCGATAGCACATGCAAACTCAGGACAAGTGACTCGCGCTCTTTGCGCCCTCGTCCCAGGAGCTTGTAGGCCCCCTCACCTATCCTGAGAAAGCTTGAGAGTTAGTCTTTTTTGTCAGGGTTGTCTGCTCGCAGTTCAGGCGTGTTTCAAGGCATCGTTTGAGAGCAAAACGTCACCCTTCTATAGCGCTTCACTTGCTTGCACTCTTTTACCCCGAGCCCTGGCTTTGGGGATGTGGTTTTAGGGCTTTAGTTTCCGCGCTTGAAATGTTTTGAGTCTGGCTTATGTTGATTATAAGGCCTTGCGGGCGGGGGGGGGGCTTTCCTAATGAAAAACTCTTCGCAAAGCTTTCTGAAACCACAACATGGCAGTGAAGCTCTGAACTCCCACATCCTAGTACGAAGCTTCAAGGTGATGATTTAGGCTCCATGCTTGGCGTGCAAATTGGTGGGGCAAGAGTGCCACGTAACCATCTTTGGGACTTGCAAGCCTGCCCCGCACCAAACCGCATGCAAAACTTTACACTTCACAACCCGAAACCAACAGCTTTAGACTCCAATCTGGACTCAAACATCTCCCGCGCAGGAAAACCCTTTGCACAGCGGCTTCTTCATGTTCCTCTGGACCAGTTCGAAGGCCTGTGCCAGAGGAGGCTGGGCTACAAGGGCTATCGTGCCCAGTGCAGCAAAAAACACATAAACGGAGAACAACAAAGCATAATTTAGATTTCAGGGCTGGGGGTAGAAAAACGAAAAATGGTGAAGTCAGTAGTACGCGGCAAGCCGCTTACAAAACAACTCAACCTTGACCATAGAAAAGGGCTTGGTCGTCCCGCGCGTATCAGATACGATACATGTTTGAAATCTCACCCACCCCAATCCTAAACCTGTAAGGCACACCTGCTGAGTGAAAAGATTCTCTGGGCTTGAAATGGATTGGTGACGGAGGCTTGAGGAATGTGGCGTAGGAATGCCTAAGATCTAAACCCGAAACTCAAAACTTGAGTTGGGGTGTAAGGTTCATGACAATGATCACAAGTCCTCCAGGTTGACATATTTTGACAAGATTGCTTTCTGCAGCTCGGTTTTAATGTTTGGGCCACACAAGCAGGGTTTTGGGCTGATGGTGTGGGGTTTTGGCAGACAATAGCCAAATGTCCTCGGGAAGAAGCAAACTTAAAGGAAACACAGTACATCCCAGGGTCCTGCCTGGGGTGGCATTATGCCATTCTACCTACGAATGCAAATGTGGGGATCCCTGAACTGTAGGTCCAACAGAGTCTCAGGCTATCCATGTTGTGCACAAGTTCTCGTGCACCCCCCGGCCTCCATGACTTTCTTGGCCTGGAACTTGTTCTTCTCTGCGGCATACCTCTTGTACCTCGCGCCCGAACCCGGTACACCCAGAACTCCAATCCTGAGGCTCGAAACAGGTCCAGAAACCTTTTCCCGTCTCCTTCTGTAATCCCAAGAACGAGTCCTTGGAGCCTTACGGAAAGCCCTAAACACTAGCCCTTTAGCCTGACCTGCAAGCCTGCACGAAAAACCGGCGTGGATGCCATACATTCGATTGCCCGCACTAGGCAAAGGACGTCTTTAGGGTTTAGGGTCGTGGGAATTGCCTTGTACCCTTCGGCTGCAACATAGCTTCCACGCAAATGAGCAAGGAAGCCACTTCCTACTTCTTCGGGCGGAGCAAAACAGCAAGCACTCAGTAATGTGCATGTTTCCCCTTGCTTAGGTTAAGCTGCTCTCGGTATCACAAGCCTTCATACCTGGGCACATATTTGCAGTTCCCTGTCTTGGGTAGCATCGCAAAATTGGAAAATGAGCTCTACACGTCAGGGGCCAAGTAACGGATTAGTGGCCCTAGCCTGTCGATAAAGTACTATATATGGCCACACACACACACTCACACTCCTTGTCGCCACTGTGGCCTACCCCTTCCTGGGATATGTCTTCCTACCTTCTGAGCTTGGGACCAAGAACTTTAAGTTCAGCTTTAGGGCTGTGGTTTAGATTCAAAGCCTCCTCAATCCCGAACCCTATAAACAGGACCCTAAGCCACAGACTCTTTAGTCTGCAGGCTCGAAAAAAGCCAAGAAGATACCCACAGCCATCTGCGACATGTACCAGCTCTCTAAATCAGAGTCTCTTTTGAAAATGGGGGTTCCGAGTATACTACCGAGCACCAGAAAAATCAGGGTTTAGAACTGTTCTTCTGAGGTCCCGGCAGCTTTTTGGCTCGCTGTCGTACTTTGTCCAGGTCGCTCGGATGCTTGACCTGCAGAGCAGCCGACTCTCTGCAACAAATTTGTTGGGCAGAGGGGCTAGGATGTCATGTTCCAGGTGCAAGGGGGGTTGGGGCGGAAGTTTAGGCAAGAGATCAATCGGTTAACCCAGAGGCTACCTTGGTGATCGTGAATCTGGGTCCAGGGCCCTTGCTGTGAGGTCCGAGTAGTGCCCGTATGCGTTCAGGGTTCAGGGTTTATCAGCCTGGTCTGTGAAACAGCTATTTCCGAATCTGCCGAACTGGTAAACCTACAGCCTAAATTCTGCAAGTCCAAGTCACACATGAAGTTGTTACCGAAATCTCGGAGTTTCTCACGCAACGGCGGTTCAGGGTTTCGTGCTTAGGTTTACGATTTATGGGCTTAGGGTTTATAAGGTGAATAGGGTCTACAGGATTTAGAGTTATAGGGCTAAACAGTTTTTAGGGTTTGCAGGGTCGGGTTTGCTGTGAATACACTTGAGGTAAGCTCCCACATAAAGGAGTACCCACGATATACGCATATTCTGCCAGATGGCTTTGGCTCAACTTGAACTTCGGCCAGGGTTCGGGGTGCAAAAGGCTATGCTCGACAGAGTCGTACTGGGCTTTGGGTCGCAACAACTCTACTTTACGCAAAGTAACCCAAAAGCCCGTAAAGGAGTGAAAACACACCCATTAATTGCGGCACTTGGTCGCTTCCATTCCTTCAAGCAAACAAGGAAACTCTAGGTACAGAGTTGGCCAGACTGCAACATGGACGACGACATCTGGATCTGGTCGGTGGGGAAGGCCTGCATAACTTTGTGGGCATGTCAAAGGCATCCTTCTGCTACAATGGTCCACCCCTCGCCGAGCGAACTTGCGAAGAAAGTCGTGGCTTGTAGCAAGATCTGAGAAACTCTACGTCTTTGGGAGGCTGTCTGCTACTATATAAGTTGGTCTCGGGATGAGGGAGCAGGACTCCCTCGGCCCTAACCCCTAAAACCTTAAGCTCCTGAGCCGCTAAACCTTATATGCGAATCCCCCCCCCCCCCTTATTATGTAAAAAACTCAAGTCCCCACACCCCGAACCCCGAAACCCTCGCTGCCTGGCTTGCAGGGACTCCGAGAACTTTGTACGGATCCATCGCCGAACCTGGAGACACGACTGGGACTAGACTCAAGTTTTTGCGGGCGTAGGTATGAAAACAAACTAGACCTCAAAACCTTCTCTATAGTTTTTTAAATAGTATATACATATGCGAGTTTAGGGCGCGTACGGTTTTTAGGGTTCAGAGGCCAAGGGTTTTGGATTTCAGGGGTTTTAACTGCGTTGGAGGGCTGTTAAAAAGTTGTAGGGTTTTGATGGCTTCGGGTTTGGGATTTAAAGGGAACCACTTTCTTGCTCAGTCTTGCGGCTTTTTAGGGATGTTAAAGGGCAGTTTAGAGTTTGAGGTTATGGATAGATTCTAAGGGCTTAGGGCTCAGGGATTGCGCAAGCTTCGGGGGTTTTCTGTGCTCTTTAGATGTTCTTTGCGATTCTAGGGATGCCGAGGTTCTTAGATGAGGGTGCTGCAGGGTTGGATTAAGGTTTTGGGTCTCAAGCAAAGGCGTCTTGGGGTTTAGGGCTTACTTACATAGTATACTTAGGGATTCAGGTTCTACTAGGGGTTGTTATCGGTTGTAAGGGCCTTTAAGTTTCTGAATTTGTTTAGAGAGTTAGTTTTGCAGTTGGATCGGCAAGATTACGGGTTGAGCCTGGGGTCAGGGAATCATGACTGCGGATAGTGTAGGGGTTTCGGGCTGTAAGGGGTTAGGACTTAGGAGTTTTAGGGTCTATAGAGCGCTGTTCAGATAGCTAGGTTCGAAAGTGCAGAGAACGTTCTATGGATTTGGCATATTGGGCCAAAACCCAACCCCAAACCCAGTTTACACTTGACTTGCTCCAGGACTTCCTTATTACAGAAACCTGAAAGGGCACCATGGCTATATACAAACCAAGTAAATCCCAAACCCTGGGGTACAGATCTGCAGGCCAACGGCCACACATGTAGTAGTATGTCTGTACGTGTGTGTACGTGTGTATACGTGTGTGCATGTATTCCAGTGCATCTCTGCGTGTGTATGTCCCTATGTGTGTGTGGCCTCTTGGGGTGATGGTGAATGTGTGGGCCACTCTATTTATGGGATCTTCCTCGCCAAGCGCAGGGTTTTGGGGTTCGAGACAGCTACGGGGGTGTAGAAGAGAGAGTAGAACCTCACGAGATGTACCGTGACCATCGAAGACACAGCAAGAAAGCAAACAACTGAACACTGAAGTCACAAGTCTTGGTTCTCTCAGCCGTAGACGTCCTAAACCCTCCTAAACCCAAATCCTGTCGACTGAGTCCCGCGCCTGACTCAGGGGCAGGCAGCACACCCGAACCCAAGACCTCGACACCTCCACTGTCACCTTTAGAGGGCCTTGTTTTGGGAGATAGGGGTGCGGAAAGAACCTGCCGCTTCTTGTGTCTCTTTACGGCATTGCTGAATTGCTGAACGGTTGTGAACCTTATAAAAACCGAAGAGACACCGGTCCGATAGTCGGCCAGGCAAATGCTTGGCGGGGGGGATGGGGGGGGGTAAGGGGGTGGGGGAGGAGGGGAGTGCTGCCTCGTTCAACGCAGTCGATGACTACTGATTGTGATGCTTATGAATATGATCTTGTTCTGATTCCCTGCTCTTGGCATGTCATTTTGTCCTCCAGTCCCGGGCTTTGGGGGAGGTGTTGCCATCCTATAGCTTAAACCAGGCTTAGGCTTGTAAGCCCTGAGCCCTCTCCTAAAACGTGCCGAGGGCTTTGTTCATCCTATGCTCTTGCTCCCCCCGACCCCGCTCTGGTCCACGCTTCGGCCAGTGGAGCCCGGTGCGCGCAGCGTGGCTTGCAATGGCTTTGGGGTTTGGGGGTTTGGGGGTTTGGGGGTTTGGGGGTTTGGGGGGGTTTGGGGGGTTTGGATAGCAGTGTTTAGGCTTGGGGATGCTTTGGGCTTCAAGTCAACCCGAAGCAATGCCGTCCACCCTTGTCAGACCTTAAACCCCTACATGCCACAACCGCTAATGCTTGAATCCATGCAAACCCTAAACCCTGCTAAAACCTAAATATGAGCCTCTTTAGGTCTTTGTCGAAAAAACCCTGAACTTATGAGATTCCGTTGCTAAAACAGATCCATAGACAATTGAATCGTTTTTGTTGCAGTTTTTTTGCAAACAGCGATTGCAGTTGGACGTTGCGGAACTTTGCAGCTATTGCAGATGTTTTACAGACATTTTACAGATGATTCTTTTTTTTTGCAGATTGTTTGCAGATTACTTATTTGCATATTGTTGTCAAGTCTGCAACAAATCTGCAAAACGCAGGGATTGGTGCAGAATTTGTTGCCCACCGAAATGCCAATCCCCAACAGGCATTTGGCCATCCACAAAATATCCGCAAAACACCACCTGCAAAAAACATGCAACCCGAAGTTGAAAAATATCTGCAAAAAACTGGCCCGTCCCAGGAAAGAAAGGCCTTTCCGTCCCAAGCCAAAGGGGCTTAGTTTGGGGTTTAGGATTAGTGGTTCATGTCAAGCTCGGGTTCAGGGATCGGGGAGACAAGTGCCTCACAATACCCAAAGCCGATTACAAACTCGAAGCCCAGGATCGAGGTCAAGTTTAGGGACTATTTTGAAGCTGCGAGTGTTTCGCAACTTGCGTGAGCAACTGCCCGCCCACTTTCAGGCGGATGCAGCGGGCAACAGGTCTTCAACAGCAGTACCCCTGAAACCTGACCTTCAGCAACCTTAAGCATATGGTCATGCCCCAAGCTGCACCCCAAACCCTAAACTCAGAGAACTCATGATGCGTCTATCCTGAGTCCTGAAGCATCTCTCAAGCACATGGACTTCAATAGCTGGTGTTGGACTGCAAGCCCAGAACTGAAGCATACTTGAGAACTTGACTGCTGCAATGTTCAACCCAGCATAGAATGCATAGAAGCTTCGGACCTACAAATGCCCACAATGCACATGAGGGTTCGTGGTTTAAGCGTTCAGGAACTTGAAGGCGGCAGGACCTTTATGCCCGAACCGTTGCAGCAAGGTGGCCACTGATTCATCAGATGGTTGATCGAGCGACTGAAGTTGCAAGCAGTATAACCCAGGTCGCAAACGTTTTTTACATCTGTGGTTCATGTAGTACGGGGCTCATCCCTGTAGCAGGAAAAACAACAGCTGTTGAAGGGACTGCTGCCCTGTTTGTACATTAACACACAGGACGCTGGCTATGAAGCATGACTCCACATGCACCGCTTCATCTCGTGAGGCCATTTGCAGGCATGCTTTTGCCAAAGCAACATAAAACGGAACAGTGCCTTCATCCATCATGACTTGCCTGCACATGTTAAACCTGGACTCCTGATACAACCAAGCCAAAAACCCCCAGCAGCTACAACATCATCTCCAATAGAACCCGGAACGTCAGTTCAGCCCTTGCCGCGCTTTGTTTGGGCCTCATCACTGGGACCTGTCGGCAAGATGCGTATC